TAGGAGTGCATGTAATAAATAAATAAATAAATAAATAAATAAATAAACTATCTAGGAGTATCGAATGTTATCTGTTCAGCACTTCTTCGTACGGTTCATTCTGTAGTCAATCGTACGCCACTCCATTTGCTCAAGGAAATAATTCTGGTTGATGATCAAAGCACCAGAGGTTATTTCGAATGCTTTGTTTATGAATTCTATAACTTCTAGATTGTTGAGTTCCTCTCTAAAGTGTTGAGTGCAAGTCTGCTACGTTCAGCTGAACTTGGCGAACCTCTTGATGAACATTTGAAGCGCTTTGGTTCACTTGTAACGTTGATTCGATCCACTGAAAGACTTGGCCTAATCAGAGCGAAACTGAAGGGAGCCAAAGCCGCAACCGGAGATGTCATTGTGTTCCTTGACGCTCACTGTGAAGCGAATTCCGGATGGTCAGTTCATTTAAAAATATACGCCTCGAAAATTTGCGATTTTCTTCCCGGGAAACTTATCGATTGAAACCTGTATTTCGGAATTAGCTGCGCCTGAACGTTCATCTCAGCACTGTTTTGCTTCAGCATTCATTTTACGCGAATATTGTGGGGAATCTGAATGTGTTCAGCTGCTTTTGGCCCACCACCCATGCGCAGTCCCAGGACCAAAACCCTGATCGGCGCCCACCTAGGCCAACTAAGCCTTTTGCCCTTCGGGACCGGTTAACTGGCGCCAGATGTCTGGGATGATGATAACACTGGTCTACCGGCTGTCGCCTACAATTCATTGTTGGGGCCACATCCCATTCACTAAGCCACTACGAGTCTGAATAGAAGTAGAGTGTCTGCCGTGCCGCATCCCAAAAGGGCTTGATTAGAGGCGAGGAAAATTTTCTTCTCTATTGAGCCCAATATCATAACGTTGCACAAGACTCTCTGGTCACCATATTTTTGGAGGCAGCTTTCGCACTTAGTTCAGCTTCAGACATGCTCTAGATCGAGAGCCGTGCACGATTGCTGAAGATGGTGACGTCTTATCTGCAGGAAATCGCACTCGGCCCAATGTTTCAAGATTTGTTTGGCTTCGGAAGTCATGC